CAATACTTCCCCTTTCTGTCAGATGTAAAAAATAATAATAAAAAAAGCCTAAGGTCATAGTTGTGCACATGCAGTTCTCCAGAATTCCTATGAAATGACTCCTATCTGTCCCGTAAGCAGTAAGATAGGTGTCTCCTGGCTTTTGTTATTACAGTTTAGCTTTGATTTGCCTCTGGCTGCATTGGTAAAGATAATTCAGTGGTGTGCTCTTTATTCTTTGAATCTCCTTAGCCTAATAGTTCTGACAGAAGTTGATGGATAAATTTTAATCTGTGCTTGGGAAACTTAATTATCATAATTTATCAGAATCACACCCATCTATTGAGATGTAGTGATGTCATCCATCAGTATCCTTCTGTTGCAGAGATCAGCATTGAGTGAGCTTCAGTTTGTCCTTCCCCTTTGTTTTATGACTTACCAGCATACTCGGTTTTGGCAGGAGTACATAGACCTTAACTTTTCTGATAGATCTTGGTGCCTCTGGTTAATCATTACATATTAGAAAATATGACTCTGTTCATGTGTGGTTCAAACTGTTCTTCAGATGCCATTTAACTTATACATTAAGTTTCCCTGTTCTCTTATCAGTCAAGGCAAAAGTCCACAGAGAGGAGGCAACGCTTTATGTTCTTGTCCTTGATATTATTAGAGCTTCCTGTAGTAGGTTTTATAATGTAGCTAATGATTTATATTTGTAATCTTTTTCTTCCCTGTACCGTTGTTATTCCAATGGATTCAGGATTCCAACAGGAACTCAAATGCAATTTCTTTTTCTTTTTTTTTTTTTTTTCCTTTTTCAGTATTTTTAGATTGTTTTATATTTTCTGGGCATTCTTTTGTGTTGTGAGAAATGGCTTAGATAAAATCATCTTGTATGAACTAGACATTTTAGGGGTTTTTTTAATTATTATTATTTTTTTAGGAAATAGATGCATTTGATTTCAAAGCTGAATTCTCAGTACTGTGTGTAAAAAAACATAATGGCATAATGTAGAATTTACCAGTCAATAATAGCATAAACCTGGATTAACTTACATAGCATTCAAATTTTTGCAGTTTAATTTACCTTTTTTATGGTAACAGATGTGATCTAAGCCTGTGTTCCAAAGTCACAAAATATTGAAATTCTTTCTTTTGCTTATAAGATAACTTTACCAGAGAGCACAGCTCATTGTATCTCACTGTATTTTTATTTATTTATTAAGGATTCTCATCGCTTTGGAAAGAACATCCAAAAAGCAATGGTTGACATCATGGGTTTGTTTCAACCTCCTAAAAACTGTACCAAATGATTTGGGTTATTGCCACCAAGCAAACTCCCATCGTTGGGATGGAAACTCTTCTGAACAGCGAATGAAAGCAAGGTTTGCAAAAACACTGGCTGGTGAAGAAACTGAGTCACATCGAGTTGATCTTCTATGAAAACTTTAGCCATGGCTTGAATGTTTCATGAATATTTTTTTTTAGTAGTTTGGAAGCATTTAGTTCCACAAAGGGCAACTTTTGCAATTTTATACATTTCTAGGGATGAAGTATACCACTATTGCACGAAGGCATGTATATTGTAACTCAGTTTTTTTCTCATTTTTTTCTTGTTCTTAAAATTATTTGAGTCCACTTGTATTCCAGAATGGAAGGGATAAAACATATCAAGTCTTAAACTCAAAGCCTTTAAAAGATTTGATTCGGTATGCATTGATAGCAAGATGTTCTTCAGAGTATCTGCTGCTTTATTTCAACAAATGACAACTCTTCTGGCTGTTTACCTTCATTAACATCTTTAAAGGTAATTTCTTCATGAGATTAGAAAAAAAACCCAAACAATCATAACCTAGTGCAACACATCCAACTGGTGTGTTTCTTTTTGGGAAGAACGATGTGCTACAGCGAAGCAGTAAAATATGCAAATTAGCAGGCATCAAACTTTCCCTGTTACTTATAAGCACGTTTGCCACGTGATTGATTTTATATCCATATAAATGAACCTGTGTGCTTGTTTGTGCCAGTGCCTTAGTAAAAGAAATACCCTGAACACGGGAGAAAAGCTTATGCTGGGAGTTGGTTTTACATTATTTTTGTGGAGGGGAAATAGCAATGCAGATCTAGTTCTGAAATTATAAATTAGGGGGCTATGATACAAGTAGAATTGAATTTGCTTGTGTATGGTGCAGCTAGGTTCAAAGCTCTGATGAGATGATCTCCTCTTACATGGCAAAGACCATTCTCTAAAATGCAGGAGTATCTTTTCAGAGCTGTGGATACTCATGATCTCATTTTGCTGAGTGGTATTAGTGATTCGCTGAGAGAAGAGTTTCTGGGTCCTAGGGAATGTAAATATATTTAAACTCAGACCTGTTAGATAATCTATGAATCAATGCTGCATGTAGAGGCTGAGCAATTGCAGTTTGCTAGGTTTCAGCCTGAAAGGACCAGAATTGCATGGTCAGCTCTCTGCATGAAACAGGCTGTGAAGGCAATGGAAAATAGCTCCAGAATGGGGAAATTATGGCCTTCTCAAACCTCTTCTGCGTGGCCCTTTGTGTCAGGCAGTTTCTGAAACACGCAACAAAAATGGGGGTGGGAATAGGGCAGACAGTTTCACTGAAAAAGGGGCGTATTTATAAGTGCAGAAGAAAAATGATTGCTACAAAACTGAAATAACTTGGTGTGCTATGCTACTCTTCCTCAAACTTTTATCGGTGTCATGACTTTTTTAGATCACACGATACAGTGCACCTATGAGGGCAAATTTATTTTTCTGGGAGTAAAAGGTACAAAATATTTAGTAATGTTGCTCCAGAGCTGTGCTCGTTTTGAAAGCTCTCCGGGGGTGCTGTGAAACTTCTCATTAGGTTTTTTGGATTTCTTTTTCTGGCCAGTATTTCTAACTTGATATGCCTCTACATGTGTTTTGTTTTTTTTTTCACTCTGATCTAGCTGTTGAAACACCTGTTATGTATATGTTTGAGGTGGAAAACCTCAGCAAAGCTCCTAAACGCATACATAAGCAAATACATGCTTACATAAATACAGGTTCCCCCGTAGGAATTGGCCAAAGATGCCCATTATTTGATTGGATGAAGTTTGTGGGAAAGGAGACTTTAAAATAAGCCTTACTGCAGCTAACATTTACCAAATTCCTGCATCAATGTTATAGTGATGTGTTTTTCTGGAGCTGCAGAAATAATGCACTGTTTTTTTTATTGACCACTAACCAGTCTGTGCTTAAATTAACACAGGGCTTCTAGGATTTTCCAAAAAAAAAAAAAAAAAGAAAGAAAAAAAAGAAAAAGTTTAGATTTGACTCTCAGGTTTTAAATGTTTCATGTCTAATTGTATTTAGTGCAGTTATCAATGCAATTTTACATTCTTAAAGTACAATTGGCACAGAAAGTTGTTTTTTATTGTAAATGTTTAAAGGAGTGGTGTTAATTGTATCTTCTTTTTTCTTTTTTTTTAATTTGAGTTAGATTGTAATTCCTAAACAGGTAGGATCTTATTTCATTCTTTAAGATGTCAACGGCGTGTAAATAAAATATGCTTTCTGGATGTAAATCTTAGAAATCCACAGTGAATGTAGGCTGTTAATAAATAATTTAAAACTTGATGTTCAATATGGTGTACATACAGTAAAACTACTTGCTTTTTTGCTCAAAAGCCATAGGAATGTAATGGAAAATACTTAGAATTGAATGAACTTTCTAGCACAGTGTACTTTAATGTCTGTATTTTAGAACAGCTGTTCATCCATAACTAAACCTTGAATCACCTGCTCTCAGTTAGTGAAAAGAGCTCTAAGTGAGGGATGGCTAGGTATGGATAATAATAAATTAACCTGTTGGTTAAATACCAGTTTTTTGGAATTGATGGAGTCCTTTAAACATGAATTTGCAGAATGTATTATTTCAGCTCTTTAATATGATGGAATAGCTGAGATTTGGTGCATCTAGAGGCTGCCAGGACTAAGGTTATTCCAAACTGAGTACTCCTAAGGGTTGGGCTTCTACAGAACCGTGGAGGTGTGCAAGCCTGACCTTGAAAATCATGGTTCTAATTCAGCCTTTGTACCAATTGCTTCCTTGTATAAAATGTATTACTTTCAGCTGTTTTTTATCTTGTTCACTTACTCCTGTGGTTGGTTATTTACATTCAATAGTCTGTCCCAATGTTCTATCCTCTTCAGTGACTTCAAAAAATAAAGTTTCACAATTATCACTAGTAACTAGAGTGTTTCCTGTCTTCTGTATTTTCTTTCCAGGCTCCCTTGCTTTACTGGGCTTGCGAAATCATGGAAGTTAAATCCAATTCAGAGCTGTAGCAGGACGCTCCTCAGCTTATTTAAGAAGTGTTTTATATGTAGACGCTTTGCTAGTTAACAGCGAACGTGCTAATGAGCAATTTTTCAGGTTTAATAGAAACAACTCGAGGTGGGATAGCTGGTAGAAAGTTTCAGTGCGACTGCCTGCTAGCAATCAGTCCCTGTCTGAACTTGACAGCTACGGAGCACGTGGCTGCTCTCCATACTGTGTGGGTACGTGGCTCCTCCCGTCAGGAGCGCGCCGCCGTCCCCGCGGCGCGAGCCGAGCGCGCGCGCGGGTCGACCGTTACCGCGCACGCGCGGCGCCCTGTAACGGTCGGGCACGCGGCGCTTCCTCGCCTTCTCACAGAGCGCAGGGTGGAGCTGGAGAGGGGGGTAGAGTGAAGGAAGAGGGCTGGTTTCGTGTCGTGAGCCTCAGCATCCTGTTGTTAGCCTAGCCCACATCCAGGAGTTGCAGTGATAGCAGAGCAGGTGGGGCTGGGCTGCTGTCTTGCAGGCGCTGTGGAGCACGGAGGGCAGAGGGGTGCCTTGTCTCCACCTGGCAGTAGCGACGTGGGGAGCATAGGTGATCTGAGCTTACGGTGCTCAGTTATACGAGGCTGACAACGGGACTGCTGCTCTCCAAGCTCTATGCTGTGTCAGATTTTTCTTTCTCTTTTTGAGTGCTAAAACCAAGCAGCTAAATTCTATTTGAAGCCTGAATGCCATGAATGCTGCAACGTGAACAGTTGCAAAGTTGTTCTTAAGCTAAAAGCATCTGTGTTGGCTTGGTGGCTTTTCAGGACCGAAACAGCTGCTTCAGTGTTGTATTTTTCAGTTTCGTGTTAATTGAGTTAATCTTCAGTACTGCGCATACTTGTTTGGTCAAGACTTATTTCATTCCCTTTTAGGATATCTAAATTATCTGGAAGAATAGTGGGATAGAAAAATTAATGATCTTCAAGTAAATAAGACACACCTGACTGTCTGCCTGTGACTATGGAGAATCAAATATTGTTTGACATAAGATCAGCTACAGATGATGGATTTCTAACTGAAATATTACATCAGAATGTTCTTGATAGTTCTGAAAACTTCAGTTTGGAAACCACCGTAATTAATAATCCTGTTGAAGAAGGATTGCCATCCAGTCAAGGCAATCAGTTATACGCTATAAATGTGGAAGAGTCTTTGTTGGATCACTTTGAGAATCCTCTTTCCACGGAAAATCAGAATACAATAGCAGTTGAAATATATCCACATGGAAACAATACCTGCGACAATGAAGATCTTGAAAAATACAAAGCATTAAATCTTCCAGAAGAAGCTGATTATACGCATTCACCTTACCTGCCTTCAGATGGTGACCATTTCCTTTCTTCTGTAGTGACACAGCATAAAAATGGCAGTGTTCCAACTTCAAGTGTTTTCTCTTCAGCAGGAGCAGTCAATCAAAATGTTGGAGCCGTACCTGTAAGATGCTTAAAATAAGTATTTTTGTGTATGCTTCTTTGTAATTTATAGGTAGAAGATCACCGCATTAAAACTTGAGATGGGATCCATGTAATCTTTGAAGTAATGTCATAAATCTTGTACTAGAATGAACTTAGTAGTGCACACAGAAATCAAATTAGTTTGCTTGTGCTATAAATAACATGCAGTGAACGTACAGTTCTGTTTGCTGTTCTTTCTTGCCTGTGTTTGGGAGCACTATTTTTAAATGGCTGGGTATTTTGCTTATTAAGAAAGAAAGTTACCATGCAGTACCTGCTTCAGTTTTATCTATTACTGCTGATAGTAGCAACCATCTGATAGTTGGACAAAGTAGAAACATAGTATCATAGAATGGCCTGGGTTGAAAAAGACCACAGTGATCATCCAGTTCCAACCCCCCCCCCCCCCCCCCCCGCTATGTGCAGAGTCATCAACCAGCAGACCAGGCTGCCCAGAGCCACATCCAGCCTGGCCTTGAATGCCTCCAGGGATGGGGCATCCACAACCTCCTTAGGCAACCTGTTCAGTGCCTCACCACCCTCTGAGTGAAAAACTTCCTCCTAACATCTAACCCTAAATCTTCCCTGTCTTAATTTTAAACCATTCCACCCTCTTGTTTTTATGCTCCCTTCAAATGTTGTAGTCACAGTGAGGTCTCCCCAGAGACTCTTCTCCATTATGTTAACTTTTGTTCTTTAGTTGTGCAGCTGACATGCATCTTGTCATCTTAGTGTAGTCTGAATGTGTGTGCAATTAATTTATTTGCAATAGTAAACTGTGGCCTGTGTTGTTAAATATCTGTAGAGGAAGCAGTTTTGTAAGTGGCGTGCTTTGAAGGTAGCATCATCTATTAATTAATTACTGCCTATAAAGACGTGCAGCATTAAACTTTCAGTGATGGTCAGGGGACCAAATCCATCTGCTTAATGCAGACTATTCATATTTGGAATACTTAGATGTGCTTGTACCTAAGGAAATCACCTAATTCAGCTTGTGCTCTGTAGGCAGCTTCTGGAGGAATACTGTGTCCTCTGGGAAGCTATTTTGAAATAACTAAGTGCACCAGTTTCTTTCCAATGTAAACATTTTAACAAACGTTGCTACTTTAAGGTTCAGAAATTCAAAAAGGCATTAAAACTCACCAAAAATTAACTAAAATCACTTGGTTGAGAATGGGTCCGATGCTTGTTTCTTGCCATATCCCACCAAGGTGCCAGACTGAAAATCAGGTGGCAGCTGTAGAGCATTTCCTGGTGCCATTTCACCTGAAAATGTTTGAAGTCTTCCTTGGCATTAACCTTATGTGTTTTAGCTTGCTTTCTGAATTCAGGTTAAGGTTTACAGAGATCTCTAGCTTCAGAGATTCTTTAAATGCACGTCCAATATTATCAGTAGTTCTTCAATAATCAAACTCTTCATTCTTTGGAACTATTAGTAAGTTTCAAATCTCTCAAGAACGTATCTGATTAGGGTGTAATAATTCCTTTCTTCAAAGTCAAGCTGGGGGTAAAGAAAATGTGTTTGGCTCACTTCTTCTACACAATGGTCTAAAAATGAAATTTGGAATCTCTCACCCATCTCTTTTCCTGTTATCCTTACAGCTTACCACACTGAATCAGTTTCCTTCATCTGCTATGTTTCCTGAAATTATTAGAACAAAATTATAATCATGTTATGAATACTAATTTTGCTGAATTAAAGCCAGTTGGCTGTTCCTGTACTGCTTGTTTATCCCCCTGAACTACTGTCAGTGTTAAGCAGAGGCAGCAGGAAACAGAGATGGAAAGAAATTTGTCCGGTTCAAACAATCTCAGCTCTAACTTCAAACTACAGAATAGTTGGTTTCTATTTGTTTCATTTCTGTTCATTTACCTTATCATGGAAAATTGAAATGTAGGTGTTAGATATGATGCTCTTATAGTTACCAAAGTGTTAGATCTAAAACATAACTGCACACTGAACAGAAGGAGAAGTAAAAGACACTTGTCAATATTATCTGGTAATGCTGGTTGTTCTGCACCATTTATGTGCTTAATTATAATTTAGAAATACAAATAATTTTCAACTTGAAGATCACTATAAATCAGTTTCTGTTTATCTCTGTGTTCTTGTTTGATTTTTTTTTTTTTAAAGGAGATGTGTAATATATAAAGTAGTTATAAAACATTCTTTTCTTCAGGCGTTCAGATCATTAATGCCTCCAGCTGAAGATGAAAACTGTATTTATTATGATCAGTTTAAAGGAATCCAAAACAGTCCTATGCAGTCAAAAAACTTGCCAGATTGCTTTAATGGTAAGTGCCACAGCTCTGAATGGGATTGTTTGTTTGTTTGTTTGTTTGTTTGTTTTATTACTTTATTTTAACTCCTCTTACAGGGTTAGAAAAGGGTATGAATGTCTGAATAAAATAATTTCTGGATTTGGGAAGTTGCAGCATGAGCCCCTTCTGATAATGGTCATAGAGCTAAGAAAGTCTGAAAGGAGAAAGTTTTGAAGCAGAGCAGTGTTTGTTCATGTGTGTTCTTGTTGCTTCAGACACAGAGTTCAGGCGTACTTTTGATTTTCCCTTGTTCTTCATAATGCATTAAGTCTCCCAGCTGTCCTTTGTATGATAGCAGCACAGTTTTCAGTGGAAGCTGACATGCACATCAGCCTCGCTAACGTACTCTCATTGCTAAATGACCTTTACCAGGCGGTCACGATATACCTTTTACAGGCATCGAACACACATGGAAGCCTGTATTTCCAAAGTCTGCTACAAGAGAATACTAAATATTGTAAGACTGTAACGCTGTGCTGACATCAAAATCTTCTTGATACTGTGAGCCAGCTCCTGGCATTAAAGCCAAGCAAAAGCAAACAGATGCCTTAATAAACAAAACTTTCTTTATTTCATGTACAAGAATGCTTCAGTGGTGTCTACGGCTTGCCTCAGACTAGTGCTTCTGTCTATGATGAAATAGTAAGTATGCATTTGATTTCTAAATTCATGGTATATGCCTGCAATTCAATGAAGATTTTAAGGAGTGCCTGTTAAAGTATAACACTTGTTTTTTCAGACTGAAGTAAGAGATGCAATTAGAAATGTTACGGAGAATCACGAGGACGGAGCAATGTTTCAGAGTTCAAATACTGACGAGTCTAACTGCGAGTTATTAGCACTGCATGGTGTGACAGAGGAATCTGGATATTTACACAGAAATTATTCCAGCCCCCTGGTAATTTATGTCTGGTAACTGATAGAAGAATTATATGCTAAGCAAATGCTAGCTTGCTTGACCAAAATCCCACTTAGTAAGTTTTATGTCAACACTGATTAGACAGTGCTTTGCTCAGACTCAGAGACTAATTTTTATTTAGTCAAAGTGCTGTTTTACATATAAAATGTTATTTTATTACAGTAATATGAAGATTATTTTACAAAGGAACAGTCTTGATTTACAGTCGCATCTGAATAAATGACATGAAACACTGAAGAGAAATTGGGTTTGTTTTGGGTAGGGAATTGAATGTTAGGCCTGCATAGAAGAAAACTACTTAGAGTATGTTACATAAAGCCTCATAGAACAGTTTAGAGAACCAGGAGTGCATCTCACCCTAGGTTGAAGAGCTACAGTATCACAGATTCTTCCAAAACCAAACAAGTTGAAAGGGTCAAAAAGCAGACACCTTTGTGTACAATGATCCATTTGTCTGAGAGACTTCAGTGTGTGATGGTGCAGCTTTTTGAAGCATGCTACTCTTACAAAAACCGTTCTGTCTATGCTTAGAGTTACAGTTTCTCAGATGGGAGGCTATCGTTATTTACTTCTTCCAGATGATCTGCCAGCTGGACGGAGGTACTCAAATGTTCTGTATAAAGGATTGTGGCACACAGGATCTAAAAGCAATACATCTCATTCCACAGTATGAAGACCAACGTCATTATCTTCAATCTGGTAAAATCAAAGTTAAAGTTATCTCTAGCTTGTCAGATAGCAGACCGTAGTTAACTTGCAAGTGCACGTGTTTAATTTCTTATCAGCAGTGAGCAAAGGTGAGGTGAAGACAGTATAGCTATCACAAGTTATTGTTTCACTTTATTTTGTAGCAATTAAAACAAAATCTAGGCATTTAAATGTTATGAAAATGATGTAATGGACGTGTTGAATGTAATGATAATTTTTAATATACAGATCAACTTTTATGAAAAGGCTTAGCAGAAAGTGCCTGCATACAGTTGCATTTACCCTAGCACACCACGAAGTGTCACTGTTTCACTATAAATGAGGAACATCATTGAGGGCTGTTGCATATCTTCCAGCCTTGGGATTCTAAATGCCCCACAAATGTTTCTGTTCTTCAGTGAACTTGAAATTCCATCCGTTTTTAAAGAAGGAGGTTTCTGAGATCTCAAAGCTCATTGTTTATCTATTCAAATATTTAGTGGAACAATACATTCACATTTTAGGAGCAACACTACTTAAGTTTACTTTACCTCTTTACCCACATGTAGCTTCCACAGAAACATAAACATTACTTCCTCACTTATCAGTATCTTCTTATTTCAGTGGTGTGTGTCAATCTCCTTGTAAAATCAAAGCCTTTCGTTAGTGGGCACCATACAAGCACTATTCGTGGTGCCAGTAGATGCTGAATGTTTGAATCTCAGCAGATGCCCTACTTATGGAGCATATTTATTTCTATTTATTGGAAGAGTAAATCAGGTACATTCAAATTACAGAAAATGTGCCTATAAAAAACATTCAAGCTCTCATTAATTTGCTGCAACATTAGGGAAGAAAAGTCTGAGGAGAGCACTGACTGTTTGTTTGTTTTACTTTTTATTTGCCCTGTCTTCATTTCATTTTACTGATCTTCCCAGTAAGTAAAGGATGTAGGTCCAGAAGTTGTATCTAAAAGTTTCTTTAAACCTAGATTAATCTTGTCATCTCAGTGAGACTAATGGAGTAATGCTACTTTTTTCTACATAGCCTAAGATACTGATTTCCTTAAATGCAGTGCCTTAATGGGGCTTGCACAGAACTCTATTCTTACAGCTATGGGTTTCTTCATAGATTTTCAGCTGTTGTTTCTTTGTCGTTGTTTTTTTAACAGGCTAAATACCTCCTTTCTAGATACTCTGACAGAATTCTGGGAATTCATAAAAGAGCTCAGGATAAACATCTGCTTTGGCTATTTTTCATATAAAAATATAATAAGTCTATGCAGTTTCTAATTATATGTACTTGATGTCATAGAGTAAAAGCAATCTGTCCACATTCCTAGCTAAAAAATTGGTGAAGAGTTGAGTTCTTCTGTGAAGGAGTTGTTTTGTATTGTCAGTTTTCTTTTTCCAATTGAGAAAAACTTTTCTGAAGAATGAACTGCTCGGTCCTTCTTTGGTACAACTGGGGAGTAAGTTTGCTCCCCACACTAAACTGAGTAGATAGTGCAAAAAGACAGACACTGTCAGGAAAGATTGTGGATTCGATTTTTGTTTTTTATTCATACAAAAAGTTGAAGCTACCCATTTGCCTGTATGCTTAATTGAGAAAGTTGAATGCATAAATTAAACTTAATACTTGTGAGCAGTCAGTTAAATGTCATCTTTTCAGATGTGGGCAGCCCTGTAACAGCTGTACTGGGGCAGCTTTTGCCTGTTTCAGGTAACCTGGATTCGAACAAACAAGAGGTAAAGCAGCTTTATTCTTGTCACGTATAAAGCACAGTATAAATTTTCCTTTTCTTAAAATAGGTTCTTGTGTCTAATGGCAGGAGGTAACAATTGTATGCATTTTCTAAATTCATTTTAGCTAGCTTAGGCAGGTCAGTTTTACAATCCTGCATGCTTCCTGCGTACAAACTCTCCAATTTGAGAATTTTCTATAAGTAATAACAGAATTTAAAAGTGCAATTCCAATTTTTCAGACTCAAATTTGGTATTTATATAAATTACATTATTTCTGAGAACCATTCTGTAACTCTTTTGAGAGGTGGAAGGAAACACATTGACTTTTACCAGAATGAGAACGTTTTCTTCCAGTAGGATTCCTTGCTCTGTATTTGTTGAGTAGGACCTAATAGTCAGTAAGTCTTTATCATTTTCTCAATTATTATTTGCTAATGGAGTGATAGAACTGTATTTCAATTTATTTTTAAAAATGAAAACAGAAGACTAAAAATCTTTGTAGGTGTTTGATTTCTCTTGTCATTTCCAACAGAGCTGGTAGCAAAAATCATTGCAAATGTTTACCTGTTAACTTCTGATTTGTGTTAAATGAATGTAATGTCAGTGCAAACACAGCAGATGGTTTGTGGGTAACAGCCACCCTCGTAAAAGAGGAAATTAAAAACCCAAGAGCCAGATGGAGCAATGAACTATAGAGTCTTTCATCACTAAAAGTAGAGTACTGACAAATTGGTGTCTAAATTTTCTAGAGATGTAGACAGCACTGCAGTTCTCTCTCTGATTTTATCCCCAGCCTGTTGTTCCTTGGATTTCTTCTCTTGCTTTAAAGATATTAATTTTCTTCTTCCTTATTGGCAGCTAGGTTGATAACTAGTTAAAATAGCTATTATTTACAAGTACTCACAGCACTTCCTTGTACCTGTTTTACTAGGCTATTATATCATAGAATCACAGAATGGCCTGGGTTGAAAAGGACCACAATGATCATTTAGCTCCAACCCCCTGCTATATGCAGGGCCAACCAGCAGACCAGGCTGCCCAGAGCCACATCCAGCCTGGCTTTGAATGCCTCCAGCGATGGGGCATCGACAGCCTCCTTGGGCAACCTATTCCAGTGTGACACCACCTTCTGTGTGAAAACCTTCCTCCTAATATCTAACTTAAACTTCCCCTGTCTCAGTTTAATACCATTCCCCTTGTCCTATCACTATCCACCCTCGTAAACAGCCGTTCCCCCTCCTGTTTATACGCTCCCTTCAAGTACTGGAAGGCCACAATGAGGTCTCCCTGGATCCTTCTCCAAGCTAAACAAGCCCAGTTTCCTCAACCTTTCCTCATAGGAGAGGTGCTCCTGCCCTCTGGTGGCCCTCCTCTGGACCCTCTCTGTCTGAAGAGAAAATAGATCTGCGTTCCGTTTCGATGGCCTGTAAGCTAATACATTTTATTTAAATTGTTTAGTCTTCAACCAATTAAATGCCATATTGCAGCTGAACGTAATGTACATCATCAAGTCACTAGCCAGTTTTTGTTGATTACTACAATTAAAAGCAACTGAACTTAGAATTATCAGTACACTGAAAACAGTGTGCAAATACTGCAGCACTGGTGGCTGTTCTTGATGCTTTACATTGGAAGAAATGAGTGTCCTGATGTACTGAGCAGTTTCAAAGAGAAATGCATGCAGTTTTTACAGCCTTATGCTTCCATGAATTTTATAGCTTTACGTGGCAAACAAAGCATCCTCAGAACATTTTCTTTGTATTGCTTTTTTTAACTCACAGTAGTTTACTTCTAAAATTTAATATAAGCAAGCTGTATATATTTTATCTTGAACAGTTTGAACATGAATACTTACAATCAGTAGCTAGCACTTCCACTTTCCAACCAGAATCGAATCTGCAAGTGGAAATGACTTCAGCTGGGTAAGATGCTTGCAACGCTTAGTCCATTATGAGCTTTGAATTTTATACTGGCAAAGACTCTTAGACAGTTTGTGTAATATAGCTGCTTCTCACACAATTTGGCAAGAGTGATTTGTGTACTCATCTTGGTAGCCATTATTCCATTTACTGGTGGTCAAGGCTTCCAGGATTTCTTAGGATCAATGCAACTGTGCTGTAAATGTGTCCTAAAAGCATTTAATTTTCGGAGTTAATTGATATGTTTTAAAATGTAATTAACATGTGTTTAGCTTGTATTTCTTACAATAATGGGATTCTTTTAATAAACCTTAATTGCAGATGGTTTTTAAATGCAAGGCAGATGCGAGCCCGGTGTGACAAATGAGAGTGCTTTGCAGTTGTGCTGCAGTTACTGGGTTCTGAGTGGTTGCTGACCTGCCCCTAGGAATGACCACTGGTGGATCACATGAGGGGGGGGGGAGAATCTTACAAAGTTTCAAAAGTATAGACCAATCCATGATTTGTATATTTATTTTCTTATTTTCTTCCTCTTTCAACCTGGGTAGCCAACCTTTTAGTTCGGGGATTACGAAGTCTAAGAAACCATGTAACTGCACAAAATCTCAGTGTCTTAAACTGTGAGTAATAGCTTAGCAATATTTAATAAATATCAATAGCAGTGTATTTCTGAAAGAATAAATATACAATAAATGTATTCTAATGAACAAGCTATAAATTGCTCTGCTGATCTTTAGTTAAAGATCAACAGTTTGTGTCAGCTAGTATCACACGAATTCACAATTCAGGGTGTAGATGTGGATGACTAACAATTAAAACCCTGGAAAATATGAAGAGAACCTAGAAGGCATTGTTCTAGAAAATCATTTATAGAATGAAAATGCTGTATATTGAAGCATCATTTCTCTATCTCACTTCTGTACAGCAATAATCTACATAACTACTGTGCAGAATCTTATTATGTATTTACGTGCATACGTAAAATGCACACAAGATGCGTACATGAGGATTAAAATTTGATCCATTTGTGAAGTGGGTGTTTTTAAAACAATGTGAAAATGAACAAGAGATAGAGAGAAGGTCTCTGAGTATATTTGGATATGATTGAATAACAGAGGAGGGGTAGGAGCTATAAACTCTGCCTTGAAGTAGAGTAACATTTAAAACCAGTTAATCTTTTCATTTCTGAAGTTGTGTTTATATGTTGATTGTAGATATTGTGAATGCTTTGCCAGTGGTGACTTTTGCAACAACTGCAATTGCAATAATTGCTACAACAATCCACTTCATGAAACTGAACGCTTTAAAGCCATTAAGGTAAATAAATGAATAAATATAAAATACTGTATGTACCAATATCAGCTTTGTGTATGAAAAACACGCTAGTAGTTTTTTTTTCCTCTAGTTACAATCTTTGAAATATGTTATTTTTATACAAAATATCACCAACTGCTGCTGCTATATTTTTTCTTACATAAAAAATAACTTTTTTCTCTTTTAATCTACTTTTAAGGAGCCTCTGATACTTTTGATTACAGCTAGTGGTATATTAATGGAATGATAATTTTCATTCTTGGAACAAAATGTGCAACTCCAAATTTAATTTCAGAAAATGTTTTCACTTGAAGGAAAATTTGTGTCCCAAAGTCAGAATTAGGTTGATGATGTTGATTGATGAAAAACTCAGCATGAGCTGGCAATGTGCACTTGCAGCCCAGAAGGCCAACTGTATCCTGGGTCACAGCAGAGAAGTGTGACCAGCAGGTTGAGGGAGGTGATTCTGCTCAGCTCTCATAAGACTCTACCTGGAGTATTGCTTCCATTTCTGTGTCCTTCAACACAAGGACATGGAGCTGTTGGAACAGGTCCAGAGGATGTTCACGAAGATCATCAGAGGGCTGGAGCACCTCCCCTATGAGGACAGGCTGAGAGAGGAGAGCTGGGGCTCTTCAGTCCAGGGAAGAGAAGATCTGTGGGGCATTGTATAGGACCTGAGAGGGCCTACAGAAAGCTGGAGAGGGACTTTATAGAAGGCCATGTAGTAACAGGACAAGGGGAAATGGTTTAAAGCTGGAAGAGGGTAGATTTAAACTAGATATTAGGAAGAAATTCTTTACTGTGAGAGTGGTGAGACACTGGAACAGGCTGTACAGAGATGTTGTGGATGCCCCCTCTGTGTAAACATTCAAGGCCAGACTGCATGGGGCTGTGAGCAACCTGGTCTAGAGAGAGCTGTCCCTGCTTATAGCAGGGGCTGAAACTAGGTGATCTTAAAGGCCCTTTTCAAAGCAAACCATTCTATGATTCTATGAAATTATCATTTTCTGAATTATTATTTTAATTTGCAGATCCTTGGTAGTTGTCTGTGCTAGTCTTTCTGGTTGACTAAACAACAGTGCAAAGCAAAGCTTGTGCTCATCACAACAGCACTGAACCCTTTACTTCTGAGAAGCAGTGAGACTCCACATTTGGAAGCTGATTTTATTAGTGGAATACTGAACAGTACAGGAGCTAACTTTTGAATGTTATCAAACTGCGTACTCTGGGCAATTATTTATTTTATACTAATGTGTATCTGTTATGTAAGGTTTAAAGTGAAAATGAAACATCTATATCTACTGATACTCTAAAATAAGGATATGTTGGTAGCTTAGTGTTTCTTGTGTGCACCTATCCAGATCTCTTTTGTATCATTCACATAATCTCTGGACCGTACAAGAAGTTCATTTAATTAGAATTTTGCTGAATCCAACCAGGCAAAGCCTCAGCAGTTTTTGGTATTGATATGCTACAACTGGGTTTTGAATTCAAATGCTCCTCAGCAGTTGAATTGGTGAGGTTGTAGCAGTCCAAGCACTCCTTTCACTGCCGCAGATAGCATCATGATAGTGTGTGAGAGATTTGTCCTTCAGAAAAGCATATCAGTTTCTGTGCCTCTCTTTAATATTGTACATAAAGTACATAGAATCCCTTTAGTCTGACTTATATGGCATGATGCAGTGAGATAGTAGGACCTGAAAAAAGCTAATGTCCAGTGGAATAGCCAGTGCTGACTTCTGAGTATCAGCTTTGTATTAGACCATTATATGGTTAATAACTCTGAGATGTCTATAGCTATATATGGATGGGTTCATTTTTCTTTTTGTTTCCGGTGAAAGTAGTATCAACAGAGGGACAAAAACAGCCCCAAAAGAATAACAGATGTGTGGGTCATTTACAGAATTACAGGAACAGCAAGGTTGGAGAAGACCTACAAGATCACCCAGTCCATCCATCCGCCTATCACCAATAGTTCTCACTAAACCATGTCCCTCAACACAAAATCCAACCGTTCTTTGAACACCTCCAGGGTTGGTGACTGCACCACTTCCCTGGGCCGCCCATTCCTGACCACTCTTTCAGAAAAGCAGTATTTCCTAACGTCCAACCTAAATCTCCCCTGGCACAGCTTGAAGCCATTCCCTCCAGTCCTATCACCAGTTGCACAAGAGAAGAGGCTGACCCCAAGCTCACTACAACCTCCCTTCAGGTAGTTATACAGAGCAATAACGTCTCCCCTGAGCCTCCTCTTCTCCAAACTGAACAATCCCAGCTCCTTCAGCCATTCTTCATAAGGCCTGTGCTCCAGACCCCTCACCTGCTTTGTTGCCCTTCTTTGAACCGGGGCCTCAATGTCTTTCTTGCAGTGGGAAGCCCAAAACTGGGCACAGTACTGGAGGTGCAGCCTCACCAGAGCTGAGTACAGGGGGACAATCACTGCCCTGTTTCTGCTGGGAACACTGTTTCTGATACAAGCCAGGATGCCATTGACCTTATTGGCCACCTGGGCACACTGCTGGCTCGTGTTCAGCCAGCCATCAATCAATACCCCCAAGTCCATTTCTTCTACACCGTCTTCCAACCACTCTGCCCTAAGTCTGTAGCGTTGCCTGGGGTTGTTGTGGCCAAAGTTTAGGACCCGGCATTTGGCCTTGTTGAACCTCGTTGCATTGGCTTTAGCTCAGCTCTCCAGCCTGTCCAGATCCCTCTGCAGGGCCTTGCTACCCCCAGGCAGATCCACACTTCCAGCCAACTTGGTGTCACCTGCAAATTTACTGAGAGTGCACTCAATGCCCACATCCAGGTCATCAGTAAAGATATTGAAGAGGACAGGCCCCAGCACTCTGCCCCCTGCGGAACACCACTCGTGACCGGTCACCAGCTGGAGTTGGGATAGTCCATAAAATCATGGTAGATCCCACGCAGCTCTGAATCCTGGAATCTTTGAATTGTTGCCTTCGCACACTTTGGGAAACTTACGTATGTTTCTCTTATCACCAAGTGAAAACAAGAATTTCTTTGCTAAATACTGGGAGTCACTCAGATGCTATAAAACAGTCTTTGAATGTCTCTTAATGTAATGCTTTTTGGTTTAGGTCTGCCTTGATAGAAACCCAGAAGCTTTTCTACCAAAGATTGGACAGAGCAAACTGGGAGATATTAAACCTCATCATAACAAAGGATGTAACTGCAAGCGTTCAGGATGTCTCAAGAATTATTGTGAGTGCTTTGAGGTGAGTCTGTTGGATTTTCCTGTCAGTGGTTGTCGCATTAACATTCATTGTATTCTGTAAACAGTAGTCTTTAAAAAGAATTACTCATCTCTTTGAATAGCTCATAAATTTTTTTTGAATGCAAGGGAAGCAGTCTCTCTCTTGCCATGTCTTCTCATGACTTCAAATAATTAATTCTAGCTGAAGTTGATCAGTTAAAATGTTCAATATTATGAGCTCTCAGCCAGTGCTGTGCTCCAGTTGAAAAGAGGAATGTATTTCTGCCTACTCAGATAGTCTTTGCTCAAACCATGAGTTTATGGGGGCATTGATTTGTCCAATATACGGAGCAAAAAGAATCATCATTCTCCAAAAAGGATTCCTGCAAGGAACAAACTTGTTTCCTTACATTGATACTGATGGTCTCTCTCTGGGAGTATCCAAGATACGTGCATCTAGAATAAGTCCTGGAGATTTACCTCTAGTTGTTGCTTAGCTTATGTTGCATTCAAGTTTTATACATTTTTATTCTAAGTATTCTGTATTTGCCAGGCAAAGATTGCATGTTCCTCTATTTGCAAATGCATTGGTTGCAAAAATTATGAAGAAAGTCCAGGTAAAAAAACCCAGCTGACCACACTAAACTGCATGGATATTGGAAATAATGATGAAAATAACCCATTTTTGACAACAACATTTGAAACTTCACCAAAATTGGAGAAAGACAGGTGAATATTTGGAAATATAACAGATAATACATTGATCTGACTTCATTAATTTTTCAGTTAGCTATTATTCATTTATTTCAACCTGCTCAGTTTGGAAAAAGGCCTTCAAGATAATGGAGTCCAACCGAAACATAACCAAACTACCCTAACTCTAACAGCCCTCTGCTGAATCATGTCCCTGAGCACCACATCCAAAAGGATTTTAATTTGTAATGGGTTATTATTCACTAATGAATTTCTATTGTATTTATCTAAGAAATGGTGACTAAAATGACAGACATTTTATATAAAAGAAGTCACATAGTTTTTGCCCTTCTAAGTAAATAAAAAATATCTAAGGGGGAGGCTGTTCCTATCCTTTAGGAATATAATATGAAGAGTTCAGGGATATGAGTTCTGCTTAAAAAACAGCACTTATTTTTGTACTGTTCACGTACTCAGTTCTCTTCATGCCCTGCCTCCCATTTATTTCTTACAAAACTGCTCCTAGAAGTATGTTAAAAGGTTTGTGGATTTCATTTAAGGAGCGTGTTTATACCGCTCCTCCTTCCATCTCTTCGTCCTTTGGCTCACTACTTGTCAATTTTACTTTGGCCGTTTGCTTGCAATGTTTTTCAAGAAGACCATACTATCCTAATGTTATACTTAGTAATGCAGTTGTATTTTTGGTTGGTTGTTTTTAGTCATTGACTTAATAAAGAAAAACACCTGTTAATAAATGTTCAAATTAATTAAAGCACCTTTTTTTTTTTTTATCTTATTGAGATTTACTCTGGGCTTTTAAATTCTCAGTTTGCATTCAGTATTTTCTTTGCATTAACCACTGCCTTGAAATTCTTATGCCAATTCTGTTTTAAAAGCATTCTGATGATCTCCTTTGAAAATATTTGAATAATTTCTGCTGTGGGTAATATGCTGATTGGATAGATGGTTCCAATGGAGTGAGTGTTGCTATTAATGTAGTGCAAGGAGTTACGGTGTTAACAACTGG